GAATCTAATTAAAAATATAGCTATTAGATCCTCAACTGAAAAAACAAGCCTGAAATGTAACAATTTATTCATTTCACAACCAATTTTAGAACGAGTTCTCTAAAACATCGATGAAATGAGATTTTGGTGAAAAGGGGCAAACTTTTAAATACTGTATCAATAAACATTCAAATACATTCGTGCGAATTCTGACACAGCTTCAGACCTTAAAGTCAACACTTAAACTACACTTTTCACTTATACAGTATACTCTCGATATCTCGAACTTCTATATCTCGAAAACCTTGTTATGTCAAAAAAATATTTTTTCCTTTGACATTACATATCCATATCTGCCAACTTTTAATCCTTTTGAGGATGATTTTCCCCAGTGGTAGTAAAATGTCATTTAAATTACAATTTTAGACAGAAACATATACTCTGTATTTTGAAACAGCTTATGCGGACTACCACGATAGTATTACAAATTAATATAAATGCTTAATTTTTTTAAAAATAGTGGCGGTCAAAAATATCATAAATTAAGTTTATAAATGCAAGGAATTTATAGAAAGCATACATATTATTTTCACTTTAAATAGAGAAATAAAATTTTACGCCAAATGCGTAAAAGTTGGCAGGTATGCAGATCCACCTAATGTTGATTTGATTTCCTATGTCGAAGAGTTTCTTCTTAAAACCTTATTATGTCGAATGTTCTTAGAAATTGAAAATGAATTTTTTCGGAAAAATCACAATGTAAGTTTATTGCAAACCGATTCTTTTCTAGTTAATGCATAATTATTTTTGTCTGTTTTTTAAAAATTATCATTGCTTATAGTCAACTATCATTACATACATAATTATTAGTTGTTATTCTGTGTTTCATGACTCTACTTTTTAGAGTACTATTTTAGAATATATTTTTCTACTTTCTAGAACCTATTTGGCTCTGAACTTGTTATCTCGAAAACTCGACTTGCTATCTCGAAATTTTCTTAGCGTCCCTTCAACTTTGAGATATCGAAACTATACTGTATATGAAAAATAAATGTAAGAAATATCCTGTTGTTGTTGTTTCTAATGCTACTTGCTACACGGGCAAGCCTGCTGGGTGAAACCGAGCAAATTTAAGGCAGAGTGTGCGTTTCTAGTTTTTTAGTGGCGCCATCTATGGCCAAGAATTCGACTTCTGCCACACCATACGTCGCACCCGTTTATAGGGCGGACACATTCATACATCCATTCATCCTAAGATCGTAATTTTGACCTGAATCAGAGAACGATCGATCTCCAATCCAGTACCCCCAGAGCTTTTGATTTGTTATGGGAACATGGAGGACTTTCGGGACTCGACAGATTTAACATGCATCAATCACTTTACTACTCGGGGAGTCTTCGGCCGGCGGGGTTCGAACCCACGAACTCTAGGCCATGGGCCCAGCGCTCTACCGACCATGCTACCCCGGCCATAAGAAATATCCTACAGCTGATATTGAACAGTACAAAAGCTGTTTCAACTGGAAGATGAGATTTTATAATCTCATTTAACTTTTTGGACCAATTTAACTGTGTATTTGAAATATGTGACGGTAATGATTTAACTATTTCTTTTATGATAAAGTACTGAATAAATTCTGTTTTTTTTTTCTTAAGTAAATTATTTATTATATTTAAAAAAAATTTAAGCTGAAGTGGTATGCAAAAATTTTCAGGGCTTTTATGCAAATGATATTTAAAAGAAAAAATATTCAAACTGGAAACCACTAAAGTTGAAATATTTAAAACAAAAATTTTCAAATTAATTATTAATTTTTGCTAAATCGTTTAGTTTTTAGTGAAACTCAAATATTTTCTAGAATAGTTAAGGCTATAGATAAAAAAAAGTCTGTTCCGTTAGAAAGTTCAACATATCTATCTTAAAAGCCGCACGGATTGTCAACGGAAAAGAATATTTACACTGTTACTAAACATAGATAATATATTTTAAATACACTGTAAACAGGGACTTTAATCATATGTCAAAAATAAATATACAACATATTCCTCAGTCCCGCCTGCTTTTATAAAGGTAAATGAAATACACACAACCAAAATTGTAAAATTCTAAATATAGAAAAAAAAATTTGAAATAGCTTGTCAGTCAAAAATAGTTATTAATAAGTGTTACCCTCATTTTATCACATGAGACTATTATCAGATGCCTTTGATGATGCCCTGTTTTTTTTATAAGAACAAACAATGCAGTCTATTTTGTAATTATAACATTTTTCTATCTTTTATCTTATTTGTTACTTATTTTATTTATTTATATTTTGTTGGAAAAAAATTTTTCTTCCATTATTTGTCTTTCTTCGATTCGAATTAATTTTATTTTATAACAAAGGGATAAGCGATTAACACAAAAGCTAATTCCATGGAATAAAAATATCTATGAAAAATTTGAGGCCTTGTCAATGAACTTCAGTAGCTTAATTACAAATACGATTCTAAATAGTGTTTTTAAGTCATTTTAACGAATACTACATTGCAAGTGATTATTTCTGAAAATTTTTTGTTTATCACTTGCACTCAAACTATCATACTAGACCTTTTTTGCGGATTTGCAAGAAATTTGCACAGTGCTTCTTCAATATGAAAAATTCAATGCGCAAAAATTCTATTTTTGTTGGGTTAATTGCATACAAAAGAGGTTACTTCAAAACACTAATTTCCAACATGAATAGTTAATAGAAGACAAAAATAATCCTTTTTCCCCTTTGATTTTTTTAAACAGAAATGGGAGGGGGGGGGGGATACCACTACAATGAAAACATGAACTGTTTCAACTGGGATTTGCTTTTATTTCACGCATTAAATTTTATCCTTTCTTTATTACTTACATTTATGACCACATGATTTGTAACTAAAAAAAATATTTTAAAAATTAATTTACTATGATTTGAAACGATTTTAAATACAAGTGGTTTCTGAAAAATTTTCATCAGGCTTATGGATATTATGCGAGGAAATAGCAACTTTCAAGTAAGAAGATGCCTAATAAAAAGTAAAAAATAAGTTATTTTAGCGCCTTATTTTACTCAAACATATAGTTATAATTTTTCAATAAATTAACAATTCAAAAATCAGTCTTTACACATTCTAAACCTTATTAAAAAAAAATTTATAAAATTTTAATGTTTTTGAATAAAATAGACTTAATACCCCAAAATCGGAAATTTATAATAAAAAATATTGGATTTAGCATATTGTTTTGTTTATATATTTTTGTGTGTGTTTTCTTCTGATTCTTTAAGTTACAGAAAATAAATAATTTTTCATCTGTCACCTAAACAAGTTGTTATCATTATTGTTATCACTATTTTTGGCGTATGTATTGAATAAATTACTCCATACATTCTTTTCGTTTATTCTACGATTCGATGGTGTATTAAAACATCGTGCTGCCATTAATGAGACTAAAAACTAAAGAAATGGCCATGAGAGAACATTTCCTCATACGATGATAAGCAATAATAATTAAAAAAAAGAAGAAGAAAACGAAACTATCATGTAAAAAACTAAGCGGGAAAAAAATTAGATAGTCTATTAACAGATTAATTATTTTACATACCGATTATTTTCTTATCTTCCATGTTGTTCATTAATAATTTTTTGTTTTTTACAAATCGATTGCGTTACAAAAACTTTACTCATTCGCATTAGTTGTAGAAAATTACTAATTCATAAACAGATTAATTTCAAAAGATTGCTTTTCATATTTTTCACAAATCACTTCTTGCTGCTGGAATTTAAAAAAATTTACAAATAAGTATCTATCTATATTTAGTGAAGTTGCAGTAAATATAAGTTTTATAAATAAAAATGTAAATAAATTTAAAAATTAACCGTGGATGAAAATTTATTCATTTACTACACAGAAACCATATCACATTTCTCCATCAACCAGATTAAAGTCATTTAATATTCATGGAAGACTTTTTTTTTTAGATTATGTAACGAAGGTAATGCATGTAACTTTATTTAATTAACTATAAATCAATATGTATGTAATTTTAATGAAAGTACTTATGTTAAAGACCATCATTAAAATGAAAATTTAATAATTATAAAAAAAAATTAACATCAAAAAGTACGTAGTATTTAGGTTAAGTACAGTTTAAATATGTAAGAATTAACGAATTCATTTCTTTAACTTTAAGAATTGAGATATCAAGGCCGATTAAAATGTCTGTCACATTAAGATCGGTGAATCGACCGTTTTACATTGTTCTTTATTGACCTTGATTGCCTGGATTGAAAGATCGATTCTAACATTTTCAAATGAAGAAGGTATTCTAGCAGATTGTAGATCAATTTCGAAAGATTTCTCTGTCATAATTTGCGAAGTAATGGTTGAAATTGCGGAGTTAAAAAACTTAACTGCCCTGAATTCTATTTTGATTATTGTTCTTTGGTGGAAGAAAAAAATCTACGATTTGATACTATTCTTGACAGATCAAAATAACTCATTAATTTTTAACAAAAGTGGGTTAGATGAGTGAAAATTTTGAATCAGCAAAATAGTATTTCTGTTTTTTTCCCTTCTAAATCATGACAATTTAAAAAATTATTATAAAAAATTTTTTAATAAAGTTTTAAAAGTAGTAACAAGAATTTTAAATACTTACAGCAAAACATCAGATACTTTTTTTAAAAGGATAATTAAAAATTCCTTAAATTGCTTCAAAACTACATACAAATTTAAAACTTCTTTGTTAACTAACAAGTGTGTTTAATTTTTTGTGCTTCTTCCTAGATTTGTTTTATTCGTTTGCTGCAGTTTGTCATGTTATTAAACATTCTTAGTTGAAAAAAATATTTTAACATACGGAAATTTAAAAAGGAAAATTAGGATGGTACTGAAAATTTGAAATGATAAAGAAACTTTTCTAGAAAAAGTAAAAATATTTTATCTGAACATGGTTGGTTGCTTATAAAAACAGATTTTTTAAGAGTTAAAATTATTTTTTTAAACTTACAACATCGAGCTTCAAGTCTTTATCCAAAAGTTGAGTTTCTGGAAAAGAAAAGAGAAACCTTAATTAATAAGTATGGTATAGAAAATAATCTAAAAATTATAATAAACTTCAGTAATTCTATTTAGATTTTCATAAACTTTATTGTACTTTTTTTTGTTAGCATTTATTGTTCACAATATCATTAACCACACACCATTTATCCTTAGATTCCCTTTTCCCATCCTACAAAGGGAGTTTTAATACAAATTTTTAACACGTGCTAAATATCTTACTATAGCTTTAAAGTGAGACATTTTTTCAATATTGGCAATCTTGCATGCATATTGCACAAAATGTATAGAGATACTTAGTAAAACTATTTGTGCTAATTAATGTGGTACTGAATGGGGGATAGACAGCGCTATGCAAAGAGTGTAGCGAAGCGCCTCATTTTCGAGCACGAAAGGCCGTTGTGGTAGTTACATACACATAACTTGTACACTAGAGCTCCAAATATCCGGATCCGGTTAATGAAAAGTTCGGAAAATTGGACGACTTAAAAATGGCTATGATGATTTATTTAAGAAACTTCTCTTCGTACTTTTTCTCAGCTCAGAAATGACACTTATATGTAGTAATATACAGGGTGTCCCGAAACGACCGCATAATCTCTGCACAGTTAGATTCCTCGTTGGAGGTACATGAAAACTGCCCAAAGAAGCGTTCCTGTACGATCCATAGTTTGCAAGAAAAATATGAAAAACAAAGTATGACGTCACTGCCGGTGCAAGAAAAAAACACTTTATTGAACATAGCAACAGCAGTATACTGTGCACTAAGGCTCCTATACTATCAGAGCTGACCTATCAAGCAATATTGGAGCAAAAAAGTTCACAAGTTAACATTATGTTAGTATTGTGCTTATGTTAGCTCTTTGGAGCAAAAATAGATGATGAGTCGGCCTGTCTAATTCAGGGGCTCTACTATGCACAATTTAAAGCAGATGTTCAAAGTGATCGCCGTGCATGTCGAGGCAGGCTTGAGCACTCCGTGGATATGTCCAATAAAGTGTTTTTTTTTTTCTGCACCGGCAGTGACGTCATACTTTGTTTTTCATATTTTTCTCCTAAACTATGGATCGTACAGGAACGCTTCTTCGGGCAGTTTTTATGTACTCCCAATGAGTAATCTAGCTGTGCAGAGTTTATGCGGTCGTTTCGGGACACCCTGTATATATATTTAAATGTTACTGATTACAGGTTTAAAAGTAAATTTTTTTAAACTTTTTTGTAATTTTATTTTCTAAACAATTGGTACCAAATACTATTTTAAACGACAGATAGAAATGATGACATATATATCCGCGCGTCACATATTTACAAAAAAATTCATTGTGATAGAGAAAAGGAATTTATGATTGTCTACTTCATAGAGGACATTTTTCTTTCTATATACCCATAATCGTTTCAAGACGAATGGATTTACATGGAAAAACTTGTTTTGGATTGGGGGGGGGGGCAACGCAAGATTCTTAATCGATCCGATTAATTGGCTCAAACGGCACTCTACTGTATGTTCCTTGTTATTTAGTCGCTGCATCCCTATCTCCCTTCTCAGTGAGATTCGGTACATACAGAGTTGCTAGGTGATTATACACATCCGTTAATGTTGTTATGTTATGCAGTTATGTAATGTTGTTCATGTATTGTCATCCATATGGAAATTAATTTTCCAGCAGCTCACTTACAGGCCCCAATTGGCTGATTGGATGAGCATTTCCTTGACTTCTCAGGCATGAATTGGCCCCCTAGATACCCAGACTTAAATTTTATTGAGAACCTTTGAAATGTTTAGGAAAAAAGTGTGAAAACACATCACGCAAAACCAGCGACCATAACTGAATTATGGACAGTTTAAGCCAATGTATGTGAAAGCTTTCCACAAGGATGATAGCTGCCAATGTTTGGCAAGGTGAATGCTCTTGCAAACTTGTTTAATGTCTCATGTTCGCAGCGACTATGAAAGTTCGTTATTAACTGTTATAACTAATTAAGTGGCAGTTTAGTATATTTAATTTATAAAACATAATTTTTTTAATTAATTTTAAAAACAATTTATACATTTTTTAAAAACTTTTTTATTTACACATATTACAAAAACGTATTAAATATCATATCTTTCAAACAAAGTACATCACTATATACAGCAAAATCAACCGTCGTCAGATGATTTTGCTACAAGAAATGCACCTGATCAGCTAAATTACATTGTGTTTAAAATCTAATTTGTCTTAAAAAAAGAGGACAGATATGTTACTTCATATAAAAGCATATCTCATTTGTTTTAAACGGTTCATGGGTAGTGGTAACAGCGCGAAAATTCACTTTGTTATAGAACAAAATAAATGAGAAAGAAAATAATGGTTTAATACTTACAGAATGAAAACCTTTAACTTGCATTATAAACAAATTTTCAAAATTTTGATTTTTTTTTTTTAAATTTATTATTATTAATTTTAAATGACTAAAATGATTTTGTTTTTTTAGAAGACAGAATAAGATTTTGACGACACTATCACCATCATGCCGTTGGTCACGAAATTGTGGGGGCCACAATCTCCATGACTTTCTTGACGTACAATGGACTGTTGCGAGAATGCTTTACTAAGATCTGTATAATTTTGAAAGTTCTCCTCGGACCTGATAACAAACTACAAGACTCTAAAAAAGGACATTAACTTCTGTTCAATCGACATAAATTTCAATTGTTGTAATCTGTTTTTTAATTTAGATTTGATGCCTCAAGATTTAAAAGATAAACTGTGAGGGAAGTTACAAGTTACACAGAATCGAATAATATAAAGAATAAATATTCTCCTAATGATGACGTAGGAAATATTTAGCAACTTTAAGCAATTCACCAAAAAAAAAAAATCTAGTTTTTAATTTAATACGGTGACCACTCGTCCACAAATCTTGAGAACAATTCTCGAATTTCAATAGTTGTCCTCAAAAACCTTCAAATTCCTTGAACCTTCCAAAAACCTTCAAATGTTCTCAAATCTTACCATATGTCCTCAAATATTCACATTTTTTTTTATACATAGATGCATTGAAATATCAAAAGCACCATGCTGAAACTGATGAAAACTCCACACTCGTCTGAAAAATAATTTCAGCAAAAAATAAACGAATTTTAGTAATTACGTACTCATTTATTTTACACGCGTTAAGCAAATGCGTTATGTCAAAACAACTTAGTAATGAAATCATCTGATATTTATAAATTTTAAAAAAAGTTACCGTGTCGGGGACCAGTTCATTAATGGGTTTGAATATGAATATAAATTACTATTTTTTTAATAAATATATAGGTGTCCTCGAATTGAAAAAATTTTGAGAACGCTCCGCTGATTTGTCCTCAAATCATTGGTTTAAAAATCTGGCCACCTTTTTAAGACAGATAGCTCAATATACAACAGAATCAAGTTCAGTTTTCAGTAGCATGGATATCGATTCAGTTGTCGAGTTTTTAATAAATCGAATTGAGTGATGACGACTTCTAAATTGAGCCACTGATTCAAATCGGTTGATCGGATCAATAAATTCATTCGATTGGATATCTATTCCTTAATTTGAATCGCTAACTAAGGAGTCCAATAACGATTGCTAGGCTGTTTAAAAATAATCACACTTCCGCAACTCTTATTTGAATTAAGACATTTGACTCAAATTATTTTAACAAATTACTTTTTTACACATCTCCCTTATTATTGGCCTGATTATGAGAAATAAAATATTATCTAATAGGAATGTCTATGTATTATATAATATTAAACAGTTTGCAGTTCAAGCACATATTTTTCATGATGTGTATAGCTTATCATATGGGATTCCCCCCGCCCCTATCTTTAGAACAATCCATCAACACGACAAACGATATTTTTAATCAGGATGAATTATCATTATTTTTTATGAAGCGTAAAAATGACGAAATAGTTTCAAGAATCATGACTATTGGCGTTTGAAAACAAAGGATAATATACAATCACAATATCTTTAAAAACAATTGAGTGCAACAATGGAATTTTTTCACAGAAATATAAAATAATTGTTTCAATAAATTACTTTTTCTATTGGTCTTCATTTTCACTTTTGTAAATTAATAATTCGTTGTAAGAAAAATAAAAGACATAAACTGGCACATTATAAGGATTTGAAATAAACATTAAAATAAAAGAAAGAAAAACGAGTCAAATCTGACTAATTATTATCGATACCAATGCGAATTAAGGTAGGGTTAAAAATGGAACAATTAAAAACCTGTTCATTATACTCAACAAAAAGCAAAGGCCTTTCATTTTCATACGAGAAATACATTGGTTTTTGATGATTTGAATATCTTCTTTGCTCTTATTGAATACGATAATTTTGCTTTATTTGCTTAAATATTTTTTAAATTCCTACTACTTATACTTGCAGGGAAAAAATGTTATTTGCGTAAAAATTCCACAACAAGCCAAAAAAAATCTAATATTTTCAACTTATATATTTATATAGGTTGTAAAAATTGAAAGTAAAATGCATAATTGTTTTCTTCAGAGAGTGACATTCTTTAAGAGGTTGACCATATGTACAACCCCAAAAAATTCAGCTACGGAGTTGAATTCACTCTGTTCTCCTCACTGAAATAGCTAGGTTTGTACTTGTACAGTGTGCAAAAAAATAAATAAATAAAAACTTTTATAACTTTTGATCGGATGATCGGATTTTCACGCTCTAGAAACTCAATCTTAGTGGTTCAAGAGGGGTGATCTCAAATATGCTAATTAATTAGTGCAGATGGTATTTTAAGTTACGAAATCAGACACAAAAACGTACCTACTCTGAATTAATGTACCGTTTTTTTTCGACGTATTCAAATTTTTGACCTCTAAAATATCGAAATCGAGGAAATATGGTCCCAATAGTATGGCCAGGAAAGCGATCCTAAGTTTGGACTAATTTTGCTTTTCGCCAGATATTGAGAACTTTTTGAGAGAATTGAAAAATTTTTGCACACAATCATAAAACTCGTTTATCAAAAGATAATGCCATGCAAGAAATTACGTTTAATAAATATTTACTTCATTTAATAATAGTCGAAAAATTATTGAATTGTGTGTAATTTATGTATGTATGTAATTTTTGACATCGTTTTAAAGAATATAAGTGTGATGCCATAATAGGCATTAAATATTTCTTAGCATTTTTACCGCGACAGCGATAAACTGCCACCCCCTTGAACCATTAAGTCCTAGAACGTGAAGATCCGATCATTAGATAGAAAGTTATTCCGCATAGTCCCTTTTTTTGCGTACTGTAAAACAATTACATCTACTTTATATGAAAATTCGATTTTGTTCTGCAGCGTTTATATATAGATATACAGATTAATATATGGGAAGTAGGTCAGAATAAAAATATAAAAAAAATTGCACTCGATATTTAGTTCAAAGAATTATCAACTATTAAAAATGTATTAAAAAATATCCAGCGTTTTCCTCGGTAGCCCAAAAATAAAATAATTGTTGTTTAACTCATTTCACCAATTCTTTTTCAAAAAATGCCATGACAAAATTATAATTATACAATAAAATTCACATTTTTATACTTAAATAATGGAGGTGTTACTTTTTAAAATAACAGTATTCATAATCTGAGCTTAAAAACATATAAAATGAGTATTATTAAGCGCATTTTAAGCAAATAAATAAATAAAATAAAATAAAAAGAAAGAAAGAAAGAAATTTAAAAATAAGTTTTAAAAAAATACATAATGCATTTTTGGATGAGTTGATGAATATTCTAAAGCGTCTGAAACTTTTACTGTAAGTTGCAAATCAAGCAGAAAATGTAATATGAGACTGAAAAATTACAAATATATACGTATTTATAAATTTTACGATAATTGACTAAACTATTTTGTTAGCGTAGTAAAGATATAAGTTGGCTGTTTTTCCTGAAATTACGTAGAAAAACACAATAACGAGTAAATTATACGCTTAACATTATTTATGACAACACAACCGGTGTGTATACACAGCAAGGTGCACGTTAAATCTGTCGTGGCTGAAAGTATTGCCGTTGGTTGTGGTGCGGAAGTTTTGAGAAAGGGGCATCGGCTCAGGCGATGTCTATACCGTTTGACCAGGGTCAAAATTACGTGAAATTAACATTAATAGTTAGCACTAAACATGTAGCACTTGAAATTAACGTTAAACATTAATAGTTAGCAAACATTCAGCATGTGAAATTAACATTAATAGTTAGATTTGAAGTCAAGCCCACAGGAACCATTAAGACTCACACTTAGTACATATAAACATCCGATTATTAGAACGAAAGTTATTCAGGGTGATATCTTTTTTTTCCATCTTTTCTTATTGCGTACTGTGCACCACAATGTTCTTAAATATTCCCCAGTGCTCCGAGAAAAAGTATTACACGTTAAAAATAAAAAAAATTAAAAAATAAAAAAATCATGAAAAATATTATTTGTGCTTTTGGTGTGTAATTTTAAAAAAAAATCGAGAATCAATTGTTTATCACCGTTTACGTGATAAACAGATGATACTGGAATTGAATTGATACTTGATTGATATTTTATAGTAAATTGATGAAATTTTGTAGTTCAGTTTATCAAACACAGTATATTTAATGACATAAAATTTAAAGCTCTTCGTCGAACTTCCGATGGTCTTCTCAGTGTAATTAACATAGAGACTTATTTTTACTAAAAAGCATTCCTCGCACATAAGTTTGTTACGTCGTCAGCATTTCGCTCCAAAATTACTTTAAAAAAAATAATATATATATATATAAAAAAAAAACGCTACTAAATTTTGAACAACAGTAAAAAAAAAAAAAGAAAAAAAAAAGGAATTCATGGAAAATTCTGCTTCACAATGAGAAATAAAGAGAACTGCAAAGGAATTATGAGGCTAGAAAGCGGAGCCTCTTATATAGTTATTACAAAATTAATCCATGAAGACAAGTCTGTTCCAATGCTTGGTCCTGAATTTAATTTGCCTTTTCAGCTGGTTTCGAAAGTACAATAATACTGTTTTGGAAAATTAAGAGTGGCACTTCTGTATAAACGCAGGTCAAAATATAAAACGTTTCTCAAGTATACTTACATATGCATAATAACTTTTAACGGAAAAAAGTCATTAATCAAAAATTTTTGAGAACAATAAAGCTTCTTTCTTTTCTTTTCACATATTTGAAATAAAATAAAAAAGAACTTTGTAAACACTATACCAACTGATGACTTAGGCATAAAATATAATTAATCTTTTTATTATTAATATGGATTTCTCTTGTTATGATTCAAACACAGACAGGAGGAGTGTTTTCCATGTCGAAAATACATATTTCAAATCACATTCTTGTGTTAGTGGTTAAAGATGATGTTCTAATCAAATAAGATAAATATTTACATCAAAAACTATTCCACCATATATATTGTCGATTTTGTAAAATCAGTTTCACATTCTAAACTGCAGCATGCGATGCAGGAAAAGGCATGCGATACCAAAAACATATTAAATAAACCCACCTTCGTCGGAAAAACCATAAACGTCTCCTTCAAAATCATCTTCACCTGATTAAGAATGCGTTAGATTAATTGACAGTAGCATAAAAAGACAAAAGAAAATTAGTTTTTGAACATATTCTAACACTTGTTCTGAAAGGAGAAGTGAAAGCATGTAAAATTTAAAGTTTATTGATTTTCAAAATCAAACAACCAGTATTTTCGCTAGTTCTGCTAATCCACGTACTCAGTGTTAGAAATCCTAAATGCCTATAAGTTACTAACCAGGATAAGTGATCATCTAGAGACAATATATTAATCCATCACCTCTGTTCTCAATCATTTCCATTTGAAATATATTTAGCACTAGTGATCAAACAAATGTACCTCTATGATTTTTAACTCTGATATATGTAGTATAAGTAGATCCATGTGTGTGTGACAGTGAAATTTTTTTTTCTAAGAGGGTATTAAAAGATTTAACGATTGTTGGTAAGGGAGTATAACTAATGATACAAATACCATTAGTTTACAATCGCAAGGCAATTACATTAGTACAATCGAAAGTGTTATTTAAATGTCTCTCACTTTCTAATTGGCAAATCAGTTTAATAGGATATTCGCTTAAGATGACTTAGACTTGCTAAGCACGCACTTCATGCAATAACATGTTTATCATATTTCCTTTCGTATTATGAATATATAGATTTTATAAGAAGTCGAATTCTTGGCCATAGATGACGCCACTGGAAAACAAGAACAATCGCCCCCCCCCTCTGCCTAAACAGGTTACAACAACAACATAGGTTCTATAAGTTTTTATTCATTCATAACAGGCTAGGTTTTTTTAAACGCATTTTTCCGTACAGATTTAAACTAAGTTTCTTGTTGTAGGTAAAAAACGTGAAACTTTTTCATGTTTTATAAAATTGTGAAACATCATTCAACACATGTAAAACCAAAAATAGGCCTTCATCAGGTACATTTGACAGGCAAACCAGATGAAGGTTGGCTGCTAAGTAGGGGTGCTTAAAAAAGACAATTAAGAACGTTAAGGAAGCATTAGCATAGTTTTTATTTCTAATTATGACCATAAGAGTCGTGGTGGCCCAGGTGATAGGATAGAACATTCATCTCAAAATGAAGTGGCCATGGTTCGATTTCAAGCGGTGGCTGGTTGATACGAATTCTGTTCCCGGCTCGCGCTGATCACAGTTGTGACGAAAAATATCCTCAGTGGTACACGGATTATTGGTCAGAATCCTTTTACAGCTGAGCTAACCGTGAGAGATTTTCGTGGCTTTCCTTTATGCAATGCAAATGGGGGTTAGTTCCATCAAAAAATCCTCAATGAAGGCTAGTTTATCCTAATACTTGATACAGGAGTTCCCAAGTCTTCTTCATTAGTTAAAAAATTTCAAAGCTACGGAGTTGGATGTCAATTCTCGTAAACTCAGAATTCGGCTATTCAACGCCAATGATTAAATAATTACAATCATAATCAATATATGACATCACAGGAAAAATTAGCATCGAAAGCATTGATCTCATGTCTAGATAAAGGAATGAAAATTCCATCTTAAAAATAAATTTTCGAAAAATAGGCCCTCAAAATTTATAAAAAAATTGAAACTTAATTTATATTTTGTTTTTCTGTAACGGTTATCGACTTCACCCATTACAAAATAAAATCCCTTTCTTTAAACATCTTTTAATAAAGTTTCTAATTTGTTCAAAAGTTTAGTAAAAATTTCCATTTATCACAAAATTGTTTCAAAACATGGAAATTTCGACTAACATTAATATCACTTTGCTAAAAGTTCTTTATAAGCTAAATATAATACTATCTTTATTAAAAATTTTAATTTCTATTTTAGTTAATTTCTATTATTTGTGCTTATATGATTATACTAGCAGCAAAGTAAAAGATAACTTTTGGTGTTAAGATGGAAATGTCTTCACACTTTAACCAAAGAAAAACACATCGCATAAAAAAGGTATAACATATTACATAAATTTTTTACACATAAAATCTACATTGATTATCAAAATAGTGAAGTAATGTTTAGAAAACAGCAGTCAATCACCAAAGTCAATTATTCCTATTTAATATTGAAATTTAAATTTAGGATACATCTTATCTAATTAATTTAAATCCTTTCATTTACATTAAATCTTTTTCTGCTCATTATTTTACAAAAAAAAAAAAATAATAATTCAGATTAAGAACATTACTATTTTTTTAAATTCGAATACTTATTAGTTCAGAAAAGTATTTCATGGTTCTAAATATTAATAAAACATGGAGTTAAATTTTTTTCATGAAGTCAGATGAATTCCTACATATATTCCAATGCTATTGCTACAATAAAACCTTTCAATAAATGTAAAAAAGCTTTGCTTGAGAATTGAAAACTTTTTTTTCTTTCCAAAACTGATTGTGCAGATTTTTAAAATTAATTGCCTTGATTGAAAGGTTTTCTTTTTTTTTTCCTTCCAAAAAGGCAATAAAGGTTTTTTTTAAAAGAGTGGACCTTTATCACAGAAAATAATGCAATTTCATATTAATCATTATTTTAAGTATTAAAATAAACTAAAACAGGTTTTTGCAAATAATTTTATAAAATAAATCTGAATAAAGAGAGTGCAAATAGTGAATATAAAGGGGGGGGAGGAGAGGAAGAGATAAAATGAGAAGTTAATACTATCTTACTTTCAGTTGCACGTTTGATAATAGTCATGCTGTCAGTCTTAGAGTATTAAAATGGAAGATATACAATGCTAGTAAGTAAATTAGTATGACGAACATAGGAGAAGCTGAAAAGAAAAAAGTAATTCCATAATGGTTTTTATTTTTGGAATCAATTATTTTAACATGCTAGTTTAAAACATGCTATATTGGTTAAAAAAGAATGTGTTCAAAAAAGTCTGTAACAAAAATGTTCGAATTTCAAGAATAATAGTAAAAAATCAGTAGCGTAGTTACTCTCGTTGACCTGAGGCAATCACACAAAATAGGGCTCCTTTCGTAAGTTTTTTTGTACTTTAAGTATTACCCATTTTTTAAGTACATAAAATATCATTATATTCATGACATTTTATAAAAAAAAATCTTGTTCCAGTTATGTCTTTATCTATGTTTAAAAAAATTGTGAAAAAGAATTAAAATTTTTCTAATCAAATTTAGAGAAATGCAAAGAATACAAAAAATTAAGATAAATATTATTTTTTATTAAATTTTCTCAGCTTTTGTATTTTTTCGGGTTCCTGGTATTGCACTGTTGGCCAGAAGGCCATGATCTTTGGCCAAAAGTCAAAAATTAAATTTTCAACTAAAATATGTGTAGGCAGATTTAATATAGCCCAAATTAAGTATTCATAATCATTCCAAACATTATAATTTACTTTTTGGACCGACGAAAGTAGAATGTCATGAAACATATGTTTAATTTTTTTTTTTAAATGTAACTTTTAAATTTTTATTTCAGAAATATATATAGGAATTTCACCTTACTGTTACATTTTTATCAGAGTAATTAGTCTGAAATTATAGTACAATTTTTCAATTTGTTGGATTAGTTAATACTCTTGACAAGCTTATAGTTTCTATCTTATCATTTGACATTTTAGAATATTTGAATGACTTTCGAAACTTAGTTCCAAAAAGTTTCACGAGGTAATTTGCTAAACTTTTTTTGTTGTCTTCTTTGATGTTTCTTCTTTCGAAAAAACCTGCCCCATTTTGCCCGTATTGCAAAGGTGAGCTAAATTTACCGAAAAACAAAAATTATGTTTCTTTTTCTCATGTTTTTGCGTTATTTTGTAATATTACTTCGGAAATATAATTTGCCTTTCATTCTTAATATAAAATTACGAAAATTATTATATTTTCATTGCTATATTTAATTATTAAAACTTACTATATTATTATTTTTTATTTTTGATCGCCATATTTCAGCCGCCATTTGGGGGGTGGGGTATTTTTAGTATATTTCAAAATTTCAACTATGAATTCAATTTACCAGTACATAAATAACCCAAAATAACCCCCCCCCCAAATTTTGAAACAAATTTTATCGAGATACTAATTTTGGATGCTGGCCCACTGTGTATTGCACTGACTCGTTTACTCTAATGGTAACTACGCCCCTGCAAATATTTAGAATTAAATTTCGGAATTTCCATCAGACAAATAATCTTAAGTCCAGAAATTATTATTGATGGGTCATTATAGTTTTCATCCATTGTGTGAAACATATTTGAGTAACAACAAGTAAAATTAAATTTTGATTTAATATTTAAATATTTTAATCTGATTACTTTCAATGAATGTATGTCAATCAATTTGAGATTTCTACAATTAATTAAGTCATTTTTTACAACAAAAAGAACTTGAAAATTTGAGAGATATGAAGTTCAAAAGCATTTACAAAAAAATTATAAAATATTCTAAAAAATATTGTTTTTAGAGTTTAATTTTTTGATCATAACAGGATATTTATCATTAACAAAATACTTTATTTGAAAGCTTTTTTCAATAAAAAATATTAAGGTAACAATAAATAATAATTGGTTAAATAATTCAATTAAACCAATTAAAACTATATTTAATGTGAACAAATTCACAGAATCACTTTATTCTAAAGAAAGTTCTTGTAAAAACATCATGCAGTTTTTATCAATAATTAATACTATTTTTTTCTCCTCAGCTGGCCAGGGCACCCACTCACAACATTAAAAGAAAAAGGCAAATGGATACAGTAGATTTGAATAGTTTACACTCTGCAGCTAATAATTTAGAGTCTTGTGGTCTTATTTTTGTTTGTATTTATGTGCTTTTACTTATAACATGAACAAATAATACTTTAATCAAATTTCATTAGGCTTTTAAAGTTGTTTTTTCTTGTTGCTTTATTTAAATAAAATTTATTGAAACAAGACTGACTTACTTAAATTTCTCTTATTGTTTAAATTTTTTTTTTTTTAATATACTATGCATTTGGCTGGAAACATAAAATTTCCTAATAAATTCTAAATCTTTTATCGTAAATTTTAGTTCTATTATTTGAAAAAAGTGTTTCTGTCATAGTTTTATTAATAGTTTTTATTAATTCATTTTTGTCAATTTTTATTCATTCTGTTATGTGATAAACTGTTGATTAAATTAACAAACAGAGGGAAATACCAACATTGATAGAAAGTATTGTAAACCATTCACGTAGAAATAGTAAGTAATAATGCTTATCCAAATTTATTCTCTGTTAGTGTGAAAGGATTACAGATTAATGGTACATGACAATAAAATGAATATTAATTTCACTCATAAAAATAAATTTAAGAACAAGAATATGGTGAGAAATTAAAAATTAAATCACGATTTACTTGGCAAAATACACGAGACCCTTAAAGAAAAGACAACCAAATATTTTTAGAACTAAAAGGAAACAAATAACCAAATGATTCAAAAGAATTTTATAAATTCAAATAAAAACTACATAATAAAACATTTAACTCATTGTCTAAAAGTAGTAGGTTTTTTAATGTTTTCGAAAAAGGTTGCCATTTTGACGTGCTTTCTTTCTAAACATAAAAAGTGTTTGTTTTATTTGTTTACATAATCTAGGATTAAAGTAGAAATTTTTTATATATTTTTTGTGGCCTTATATAATATAGATAATAGATTACTGCAGTTTTGAAAATTTAACATTTTGGAAATGATAAGTTTTATAGTTAGCAATTATTATTTGTGAATTATATATAAATGAAAGAAAAATGAACATGTCTATGGAAAAATAAAAGTAAAATATCATTAAAGTTGAAGAATTAAATAAAAATATTTTTACAAATTTGTTAACAACAGATGCAAAATAAATTATCATTCTCAGTCTTTCAATGATACACTACAGAAAAATTATTAATTAAAATTGATATTATAACATTTCATATCCAAAATGAATAAATACAACAATATTAATAAACTTGGAGCANTTTTGTAATTAATTCACGTTATTTTGTAATATTACTTCGGAAATATAATTTGCTTTTCATTTTTAATATACACGAGACCTTTAAAGAAAAGACAACCAAATATTTTTAGAACTAAAAGGAAACAAATAACCAAATTATTCGAAAGAATTTTATAAATTCAAATAAAAACTACATAAGAAAAAATTTAACTCATTGTCTAAAACTAGTAGGTTTTTTAATGTTTTCGAAGAAGGTTGCCATTTTGACGTGCTTTTTTTCTAAACAGAAAAAGTGTTTAGTTTATTTGTTTACATAATCTAGGATTAAAGTAGAAATTTTTTATAAATTTTTTGTGGCCTTATATAATATAGATAATAGATTACTGCAGTTTTGAAAATTTAACATTTTGGAAATGATAAGTTTTATAGTTAGCAATTATTATTTGTGAATTATATATAAATGAAAGAAAAATGAACATGTCTATGGAAAAATAAAAGTAAAATATCATTAAAGTTGAAGAATTAAATAAAAATATTTTTACAAATTTGTTAACAACAGATGCAAAATAAATTATCAATCTTAGTCTTTTAATGATACACTACAGAAAAATTATTAATTAAAATTTATATTATAACATTTCATATCCAAAATGAATAAATACAACAATATTAATAAACTCGGAGCAATAAGAACTTATAAAAGTTCAAATTCATTTTCAATATAGTACTTAATCTTAATTAATTTAATAGCCATTACTGTTAAGTATTTTTTAACAGGGACAAACTCAAATGTACAGAAACATGTGGGAAAATAACATATCTTAGAGAAATTGGTAGGGCATATATCAATAATGCTAAAACTGACCTTTTACGATGTACATTTTGTGAGAAACTACTTATGAGATCTCCTTGAAAATTTTTAGATATTATCAACGGTATGCTATGAAAATGTTCAAGCGTTAACAGGAATACTTTATGAGTTAAGAATAATTTATGATGAATCTCTTAAAAAAATTAGAAGCTCTCAGTTCATAATTTTCAAAAAAAATTTCCGTCAGATATGTATTAGCAGTTATTACAGTGTTAACATTTATATCTAAATATTCCGTGAAAAAAAAACTGAAGCAATGTCTTGTTTGGTTGATGAGAAAAGCTAAATCGAAAAAGGTCAGTTTTTGAATTATTGGTACATGCTCCAAAATCCAAAAATTTTTAGTCTTCATCATAAAAATTCTTATTAGATAACCAAAACTTAACATACGAATAATAAAAAAAACAGTAAGGTTGTAGAAGACAACAAACATACCTCAATTATTCTTAAATCTCTTTCTAATTTTTAACTACTGATGACAAATATCTAGAAAACCACCAAGGTACGAAGAAAGGTTGTGCCATATGTTTTCTATTATTTTCTCATGTGACCAAACAAAAATAAAAACGATTACTTTCTATCCTAATATAAAAAAAAAAAACTATGTTCACTGGAATGTTTTACAAATATATCACTTTGTAACTTTCGTGAATTCCTTCGTTACTTTGAAATTCCATTTATAGTTTTTGTTTTTAGAATCAAGATAAACAAATACATGCTGTTACGGAGAAAAAGGAAGTTAGCAGAATAGAGTGTGTTTGCGTGTCGAACCAACTAGGTTTGAACGGAATAAACTTTTCAACTGATATCAAATTAAAATTATTTGCATAAATAGTTCCTAAATTTATACTTTTTATATAGTTTAGACTGAAACCGTTTAAAGTAGTTGCAAGTAAGTGTTCGCAAAACAATTGCCAAATTCATTTATCAAAATGAATATATATTCAAAAATAAAATTAAAAGCTATTAATAACAGAATTAAAAATATAATAAAACCCTAAATAGGTAGAGCATATTAAAGTTTAAACAACTTTGTTGGTTATTTCAATTTCAAAATAATTTTAATAAAAAAAATTTTGTAAGCTGCAAGCTCATCAAATTTCCACCTGAAGTGAGTAGGCCTTGTTCGTATCCATCGTCCGTCGCCAAATTATTTTGTTTGTGAATGGTTTGTAAAATACATAGAAAGAAAGTTATATATAGTTAAGTGTTATGTTAGCAAATTAAAAACCCATTAACAACTTTAAAATTCTTGCAGAAATTTCTGAATTATTGCGTATAAATGGCTTTAGTTGAGTGTCCAGCTCTTCCGAAGGGATGGAAACGGGAAGAAATAATTAGAAAGAATGGTCTTTCTTCTGGAAAAATTGATGTTTACTATTATAGGTAAAGAATTAAAAATAAAGAAGATTATTTTAGCTTCTTTTTATTTAAATTATTATATTTTTTTACATTAGAAGTCTAGAAGAAGCTTTGTTTAATTATGAGAGGCAGTAAATGTCTGTATTATGTAATGAATTATGCATACGTAATTCAAACATGTTATAAAATTTTTCTTGTAATGTTGCATACAGTATTAACTATATTACATGTTTCAGTAGCCCCACTTCAATAATTCTTGGCCGTAGTGAATGATCTATTCTAAGTTTTTAATCAGTTTTTTTTCTTGAAAAGTTATCTAATGGCTTTAAGAAACTTTTTTAAAGGGATCAATGTATAGATATAGCACGGGGATATAACCGTATTGTGATCTGTTGCACCAACTATAGTGTCAATCCGCTAATTGGATTTAAACTTGCAGAGTTTTTTTGAAATGATACCCTTCAAGTGATGGTTATCACAGAAGGTGGGTATCCCTGGTCCCCTTCTGTGATTTTTTTCAGTTTCTCGTGGGCCACTGCCCGGAAGTTTCTGAGCACTTGGCAATTATTCTGGTGCAATATGGAAATCTTTCCACTTGTGCGAAGCAGATTCAGGCCTGCGTGCAAAGTGAAAACTATATATAAAAATGGTTAAAAGATTGAAAAATGTTTTAAAGGTTAATTTCATTTTTTAAAATTTTTGACAAATTTTTAAATTTTGCTTTACATTAAACTCTTATTTAACTAGTGGCTAAGTCCAATTTGTCATAATAATTTATTCTTACTCTTTTTTTTTTTTTTAAAGATAACCAAAAGTATTGGGAGTTTTAGCATTACTTTTTATATCGACTGCGTTTAAAATTGTCACATTTTTTCAATAAATGTTTTTAAAAAAATTAAATTGTAAAGGAAAAATTTTCAATAAATAAAACAAAGTTTTTTTTTTATCTTTATGCATTTATTCTTTGTTTTATTGTAGAAAAAAATTATCTCTTAAACAAATATTAAAGAGTGGTTAGGGTAAAAAATGGAAAATGATGATAATTTCAGTCATTAAATCAATCATTTCAATCACATAATTTCAGGTAATAGTCACATTTTTTCTAGGCCTAAACTGATTGTAAACCTAGTAGCAGAAACTAGCCACATTATGAAGTGCTCCTGCTTCATTAGAAAATATGCATAAAGGACAGTGTTTTTAAGCATTGTTATTGAATAAATTATAAACTTGTTTATTATGAAAGTAATATTTACTTTTAGAAATGCTTAATCAAATTTTTTTTTAACCTAATGTGGGCTTTTTAGGTATTGATAATTTTTTAATACCTTCTACTACTTGCTATGTTGTATCCACATGAGAAATTTTTCATTTTCCCGTGACAGTAAATCCGATCCATCCACCTGCAAATGAAAAATAATCAGTCATATGTCATCATTCTAGTTTATGAAGAACAATATTTTAATGTTATTATATTATTATTCTTTATATCATAAAGTGGCACAATATTTCAATCAAAGTTTAAGTTGCATGTATTTTTATCTTTTGTTTTGCAGTTATTAAGCAAATGTGTATTATTTTGGCAACTTAGTTGTCTTTTAGTTTTATGCATATAAATCATCATGTTTATTTTTTGTTTTCAGCCCTTCTGGGAAAAGATTTCGGAGCAAACCTCAGCTAGCCAGATATTTAGGAGATGCTGTTGATCTTAGTACTTTTGATTACAGAACTGGGAAAATAAATTCATTACTTTTGAGGAAAAGTAAAAGGCAAAGAGGCACTCAATTTGATTATAACCGTGGAATTCGGAATGATGCTTCTTTAGTACCACCGATCAGACAAACTGCATCCATATTTAAGCAACCTGTTACTGTCGTGAAATCAACTGATGGCAAAGTTAGATCTGATTTCAAGCATGGGCCCCAAGATAAACCTAAACAGGTTTATTTAATTTGATATTATGACACTATTACTATAGATATGCATTATTTAATTTAAAATTAGATGACTCTAACACTGAATTTAGAAATTTTATTTTTTATTTGTTTATGAATCAAATCAAAATTGTTTTGTTAACATTCTACAAATAAAAATTGATTTAATGCTTTAAAGAAATGATATTCCTATTTTATGTTGGAAAAGCAATCAGGAGAGCTTAAAGCAAAAGCATGGGATAATAAAAGTATATAAAATGTTTATTGAGGTCATATAATTGGAAACCTACAAAATACATAATTTTTAAATCATGGCATTTGTCGATTCAGAAGCGAATTAGGTTCGACAAATAAGTGTGAGGTCACTTACAGTTCAATTAAATCTGATTTAAATCACATGGTTAGGCACCATCTTTTAACTTCTTCTCGAGTTACAAGTGCCAATTTTTTTTTTATGCACTTGTAAAGAATTGTGGCTATAGAAGATTGTGAACTGAAAGACTGGATGACTGTAATCTATTATTTAATTACGAATTTTATACATTTATTGGTCCATAATCTATTGTGTTTCTTTCTACCTTTTTAGTTCTGTAACATTGCTTTCACATAAGAAAGTTCCTAGGTGACTGAACATTACTCAAATAGACTGCTGACTTTTGTCAGCTTTGATAGTGCAGATGTTACCTTAAAATTTTAACATGTTTGAAGGTTACATTTTATCTCTTATTACATTAATAATATTAGAAAAATATTTTAAATAAATTATATATTTAAAATTCGAGAACATTTTCTCAAAGTTGCGCTAAATTATTTTATGCAAATAAAGAAAATATAAATAAATTTTTAATTTATGAGTCAAATGATTAGTTACAGACTTAAACATCACTGTTTTAAGTTTTACTCTCTAGGGTTAATTAAATTTTTCTAAATATTATACTTTTTAAAGAATTAAGATGATAGCATATTTCTATGAATTTTATTAGTTATTCAAATTTGTTTTCAATTTAGCTTTCATATTAAAATTTAAATATTCCTATATTTATGATTGTTTTTATAAAAATAGATATCTATTATAAATTTGTGTTACTTTATTTATTAAAATTTTTTTTTCCCGCATCAATTTTTAGTTATTTTGGGAAAAAAGATTGCAAGGGCTCAAAGCTTCTGACATGGATGAAGAAGCATTCAATAATTTTGAACTTCCCAAGAACATGAAAGGTCTGCTATTTTAAATCCTTTCTGCTTTTTTTTTATTATAATATTAAAATTATATAATGATTATATTATAATGTTTTTTCTGTAGTTTTTCTAATGTGTAAAAAACATACTTTAAATGGTATAGAGTAATGATTAGACCTGTTCCAGTTGATACCATAGTGAATGCTAAAACGGTTGATATTAAAGCTAAATTTTATTCTACCACACTCCAATATATATTTATTAGCATCAGAATTGTAAATGATAGTTTATTTTGTTTAAACTTATTGCTTTTTGGAATACTTCTTTATATAATTTTGTTGAAAAATTAGATAACGATACTTCTTTATCTTGTTTTGTTAAAAAATTAGATAAAGAAGTATTCCTTTAATGCTAAATTTTTTGAAAAAGTTTCTACAACGGTTATAGAATTTATTTTCTTTAAAATATTTTGTAATTAAATTAATTCCTCTAGCTTTAAAAATAATTGGAAAAAATTTTTAGTTTCATTTCAAACAAACTTTTTGTCAAGTAAAAAAAAAAGTCTTTTTTTCAACAACTAAATAGCTTTTAGTGGCCCTTGGTCATTGCCAACTTTATTATTTAAGCTCAGCACATTCAATACCAGTGGAACTCTATATAATCTATTTACCATCATAGTTATTTTTGGTCACTTCTAAACACTAGTGGGAAGCTGGATAATGAGTGAATAAAATAATCATTAAAGTATATAGTCATCTTGCACAAATATAGTCTTGTTGTGAGACATTCATTAATTTTACAAGAATTCCTGTTAGTCTCTGGTTAATTTTACTAGAATTCTAGTGAGGCTTGGATTAATTTTATAAGAATGCCCATGAGACATTTTTTGTTACATGAGTAAGATAATCTAGCATAAAAAATTATATTTTTAGGTGTCGGACCTGACCTTACTGAAGAAACCTTGCTTAGAAGCATTGCAACTGCACTACATGTGAGTGGTCAACCAATTGTTGGTCAGACTAACTCAAGAGTTGTTTTAGATAAAAATCCCAGTGTTTATATTAACCCTGAACAACCCCTAGTTCAGGTAAGTCAACATGTTATTATTATTTTAAATTTTATATACTATATAAGATCAAGCAAGAGTTACATTAAAAAGATGCCTATGATAATAGTAATAAAATGGAGTTTGTATTTGTTTTGTAACAGATACTTCAAATTATTTATACCCATTGCACGCATGTACAAAATATATTTTTAAAAAAATCTTTAAATAAATATTAAACCTATTTATTGACTAGAAAAAACTTCTATGTTATATTTTAATGCTTTCATCATGCAATCCTGAAATTAGTAACTTTGATTGCATATTCTGATAGGATTATGGATCAGTGTACATTCAAAGCCACTATAACTTGGAATATGTTTAATGTAGCCTAAATTAAAGACTATCAAAATCAGGGGTCTAATATTAAACTATCTTATTGTAACTCTCAAAACTTTGTTTTTGTACAGTAATTCTTGTGACGAGCATATGCTAGTTAAATAAGTTTATTTATGGTTTTTCATGAAAACTAGGGATTTTCTACTTAGAGCAATGTATATTTTTACTCTACAATTTTAGCAAATGTTTTTGTTATCTAGGCTATAGTTGTAACGGAGGAAGATATAAAAAAACAAGAAGAAAAAGTTCTGCTTGCTCGCAAAAAGTTGCAAGAATGTTTGAAAGAACTTTGTCTTTAAGTATGTAATATTTTCTTTCTTGTAATATATTACTCTTTTAGCTTATAGTCTTAAAATTTTATTATCTTCTGTTTTATTCATTGTATTTTAAACTAATTGTGTTGTAAAATTTTAAATTGATATTTTTTGTAGCTTTATGTGGATACCTCCAGAGTCACAAAATTGTTTTATGTGGATATTTTTTAGATAAAAGCACATTGACTCTAATTGTCTGAGTACTTGACCCTAAATTTTTTGCTATTACCCTGAATATTTCCCTTTGCTCTAAATAAGTTTAAATTTTTGCTTTTCACTCGTAAAGATATTCAATATGAACATGTCCAAGTGCTTAATGTTTGTTATTCAAATATGTTATTTCATCTTTCATATACTTTTCCTCTTACGTCATAACACATAAACAGATTACAGAGAAATCAGGCAGATGAAATTATTAAATTGCTTTGGTATACTAAGGAACGCTATCATAAAAATATGTAAAATATTATAATGTAATAATATTGTGTAGAACTTTTATGTATGGAATATAGAATGTATAGAAATTTATGCAATTATTTGATAATAGTTATTAAATTTCTTTTTTCTTTTATAAAATTATCATTAAATGAATAAATGTTACAATTCTGTGAAAGTGGCATTTTTAGAAATGGAAGAGTCAAAATTTAGTTGTGGCTGTTATTTTTAAATAATTTGGTATATTTTCTTATTTTAAAAAATATCTGATGGATTTTGCTTTCTTGAACCAAGTTTCATGAGTTTAAGGAAAAAGACTTTGATTCCCATGACTTTAGGGTAAATGGAAGACTTATGATTTTAAGATAAAGTGTGTTAATAAAAAAAATCATGCTGAATGACTTTTGTTCCTATCATATGGTTTTCCACTAACACTAGTCCTAAAGTTTCAAAGGATTGACCCCAAGTATGCCACCTAATTAGTCCAGAGTATTAGGTATGTTATGGAATCAGTCACAAAAATATACTTTCTCTGAATAAACAAACCTTATATTTTTGTCGATTTGAATTATTTATCATCCAAATATAGAGGATAGCAACTATCTTTAAAATATGGTCATATTTATTTAGTCGGGAAAACAGTTTAAAGTTACAACCCCTACAATTTTGAGTATTTTTAAGCCGGAATTTAAATTTGAAAAGAATTAAACATATTTAAGTTTAAATTTGAATTGCACAATATTTCTTTGAAACCATAAAAAAATTGAAAGAAACAAATACTTATGGAGAAAAAAAACTCAATAATCAATTGCAAGAACCATTTTTTTTCTCATTATTAGAGTTATTTGCTATAAANGAATTCATATCATTTTTTTCTTTTGCGCGTTTAATGCTACAGTTATAAACTTCTTCTTTTTTGTGTTTTTGTCAATCACATCCCTGTTTTAAAGCACTTTTTTTTAATGACTCTTAGTTTTGTGATTTTCGATCTAAAACAATATCTTTACTAGTTCTTGTTAAGCCACCTACACTTAAAGAGAAGTAATAATGCAATAACTAATTAAAAAAAAGAATGTAATGCAGAACAAAAAATTAAAAAATAAAAAGTAGTTATAATTGTAAAGCAAGAAAATATTTACCTAACAACATTTTAACTTCACATGTTTGCACAACAATACAATATTTCAAAATTAAGGTAATGGAAATATTCTTCAATGTAAAATAAATCAAATAATTTACAAGAGTTTTAAATTTTGAGAAATCATTGAAAAGAAGAGAAAAAATTAAAATAAGAAAATAACAGCAAAATTCGTTTATAAGTCGCCAAAATTGCTTAACTTACCTTTTTGGGAAACATGCAGCTTTGAGGTAATCAGCAATTTGTTAACACCTGTTGCTCCTTCTCCACGAACTAATGATTTTGATAAGAGTTAAAGGGGACGACTTTGCCCCCCTTCCTGTCTTAACTCTGGGTGAGTTCAAGTTAAAAAAAACAACATTCTGAAAAGTCTGTAATGAAAGGCTGCATAATCTTCGATACTGTCGGAATCATAGGGTTAAAGTTTCCATTAGTCAAAAAAATTTGGTAAATCTATGTTCATTTGGTTATAATCATTTATTATTTTCATCTGGTTATTATCAAACTGAAAGAATTTGCATAAATAATTAAAAATGTTATTAAAAATATTTATTTATTTATTATTTTTTTTTCTTAAACTGTTGGTTTGAGTTGTGATCTAAATCATGTTGGTTTAAATTAGCCAACCCTGATAAAATGTAACTTAAAATACAATCTCTGTTATTTGTATGTTAAAAATAATGCTTATTTAGCAAAATTGGTTTCTTATTGAATAATGGTCTCAATGTAAACATACGCTGCAATTTTGTTTTTGTGCTTACATTTCTTTTTAATACTTATATTATTCTTTATTTTTATTTAGATTTTTCTGGAAGTTCTTCATTTTGAGTTGGAAAGAATTTAATTCTTTGTTGTAGATAAGTGTTTTTTGTGATTGTTTTTATACAAAGCATTTATAATTTATATATTTCATTTACTTTCATTTTACATTTTATCATGTTTTAAGTATTTCGACATATATTTAGAGAAAAATTGAATCTTTTTGTCAAATTAAACTACATTTTACTCGTAATGTAAAATTGTCTAAGTTGTTATGAAAATGGTTGTTTTTATTTCATACTATTGAAGAAATTTTATTTCACACTGACACTTATCCCCAAGTTCAACAAATACTGGTTGAAAAGAAGAAGAAAAATATTATGAACAAGATTAAATGTAAATTTAAAATGACATGAATTGGAAGACTCGTGTGATGATTTTTTTTTTTTTTTTACATGAGATTTCAGTTTGTTAAAAAAATAAATACAGAATTATGTTTAAACATAGGATTTTTTTAGAAACATTTATTTTCAATTGGCACTATGCAATTAATTTTTTACTGGCTATTTAAAAAATATAATAATAAAATTTTGGATTTGTGTTCATGTGTTCTCACATTTACATAAACTGAGACCTAATGCATAAATGTTATTTTTCATGCACTATGCTTGAGGAATAAAATGTCATTTGCAGATATTTAATTGTTTAATGCTATTTGCACAATTTTTTTATAAAAGCTGAATTTGAAATCATTTTTTATATTTATCAAAAATAACTTTTTATGTGTTTAGTCAACATTTAAATTTTTTGAAAAAAATCTGCAAAAGTTTCAATTTTATAGATCTCTAGAAATTCGCTGTGATTTAATTTTCTCTTGTTACCTGTTTTTCAACAGCAAAACATTTTTTAATACTTTTTTAATATCAGAATTTTTAATTCAATTATATAAATTAATTTTGTTTTCCAATTTTTCCAATGATATTGTAGTAATGTGAGGATTTAATTTCTTGTATGAAAAGGCATGTCTTGGAATTTTTTTAAGGTAGTTTTATTTTCTCTTTAGTTTACTAAAAATTTGAGGCTTATTTAGGTTTCATTTATGCTAATGAAAATGTAAGAGAGCTGATAAAATTTTGAGTTTAGTATATAGCTAAAAATTAAATTTTTTATTTATAATTTAAAATTTGTGTCTGTATATATATATATATATGCACGCACAGAGTGATTGACAATTACCTAATCAACCATGAAATCCAATAATACTTACCTTAAGAATATAAGATATTGTAGGTTATGTTGTTTGCTGTATGTGTCTCAGTAGCAAAGGAGATTTTTTTGTTGGACCAAATTTAAAGTGAAACAAAAACTATGAGTCATTTGTATACATTTTTAAATGAAGTTAATTTTTGTTAATATTAGAATTTTAATTCATCTTCAATATACACTGTCTGCTAAATTGTTACAATCTTGCTTTTTTATAAACAAAGCAGAAAATTTCAACAATTATCTAACCTTTATGCAAGCAAGGCAAATATTGATTAAATCATTACATCTGTGGAAAATTGAATAGACAAAGAAAATCAATAGTGTCCATAGTAAAAATTTAATTAGTTATTGCATACTAAAGATTATGTTGAATAAGGTTAAAAAAAGCTTTAGAATGTTGCCTTCAGTATTGTACTAAAGCTAAGTTTATGTTCAATTTTTGTTTTACTTAATGGGTTTTAATGGTAACAGGGTGCGTAGCATTTTTAAAAGTGGTTGAAGGTGCTTATTTTTGTTTTTTAAAAGGCCTTAAAGGTGCTTTTTTAATTGGGTGTTTTTAAAAAGTGCTTAATTTTCTCTTTTTCAAACTGAGATTTTTCCTTTGAATTATGCAAAAAGATACAGTTCAGATTGCGCTATTCAACGTTTTAACAATTCATTCAAGCCCATTCTATTTTGGGGTATTGTCAGCGCGTAGTGTATGAAAACGCCATTAGTTTTACATGATTCAAAATTTCATGATGTTTGACAATTGTCAAAAACAATGCCAATTTTTTTTTTTTTAAATGACATTTAAAACAAGATAAAACCGTCAATTGTCAAAAAATTTCCAACCCTGCCTAATTATGATATTTTTTTAAAGTGCGTAAAAATATTTTTTAAATGCTTAAAAGGTGCTTATTTTTTGTTGAATAATTTGGCTACACACCCTGGGTAATATAATTCTGGTTAACTTTTTACAGTTTCTGAAAAATTGACAATTAGATCTTCTCAACAATTTGCTCCTTAATTACTGTTTTTTTGTTATGCATCTGATGATCTTAAATGTAATTTTGACTTAAAAATTGAAAAACTTGAGGGCATCATTTAAGTGTCCTTTCAAAAACATTTAAATTTCTATGTTTAAGAGTATGTTATGATTTGCCCTATAATAGAAAAAAATGGATAATAACGTCATATAATTATTTTTTCTTCAAATTATTAAAAACACACTAATTACTTTCTACCATTAAATATTTAGAAAATAGTGATTGATTTATTGACCTAATATTGATTTAGTTAAACTTTTTGGTGTCCTTCCGTTATCTTGTTTGCATCGTTTTATCTTTTGCAAAGTGATGGATTCTGTAAGAACACATATGTAATAAATTTTAACTGTTGTGAAACACTAGACATACTATCCCTAAGTAATTAAAATGAAAGGAAAAGCTTACTGTATGCATAAATGTAGTTTTAAATATCTATTTTACTTTTTTATTTTCTAATAAATTTTTAAATTTTTGTTGTCATTTATTCTCTAATAACTTATTATCATGACATAAAATTATTTAAGCTATTTATAAAATAAGAATGACTCTAGGTATTTCTGAAATAAAATTAATATGAATTCTTTTTTTTAGAAGTACCATTAATATTTATCATAATTTTGTGGGTTCAGTAAATTCCCCGTGAAGTTGTGCATTTAATGTGTGTTACAATTATTACAAAGACAATACTTGCATGAAGTTCCAAGCATATAGATGTTCAATAATAACAAGTATATTTAGATATGACTAATGAAATATTATAATTTGATGGAATAATGTGTAAAATTAATGTAGTGGGACAAATACCTTCGCGAACGTAGCGACCTGTAAAGGGCGTTGTTATTTGAGACAAATGACTGTTAGCAGAACAACACGATCATCAGTTGCACTGGAGATTTATTCAGTGTAGCATGGCAATGTTCCTCCTTTATTGTGGCTTAATTAAATTCAAAAAAGAAAAGTGTTTGATATTCTTTCTTATGCAAGCGAAAACAAATTGGAATCTTTTTTTTCTCCTAAATGTCCTAAACACTTTAGAAAAATATTTGTGAATAAACAGAAAAAAAATTATGTACCTAATCTTCTTAGAGTTAAAACCTAACATCTGTAAAATTTAATGATCTAATATGAAAGGTCTATTTAAACTTTACATTCCATACTTTTTCGAATCATATTATTTTGAACATTAAAATACGCAAAAAGTGTACCGAAACACATAATGTAATATCATTTAATTTTGCAAAGAAAGCTTTTTGACAACGATTTTTATCAAAAAAATTAAAGGTTTAAGGAAAAATCATTATTTATCAACCACAAATCAAAAAATAAGGAATGGTTATAATATAAAAAAAAAAGATGATTCTCAAAATTCCTCGTATTGAAATAAAAAAATTTCATATTGCTTTTTTTTTTGGTCTTAAAGTTCTTAATCAGATGAAGAAAATCATTCTGTTGAGAACTCATCAAATTAGAAACAAAAACTATTTACAAGTAAATTTTTTATTATGAAAAATCATAACACTTACCTGCTGTGTAAATTCGGAGAATTCCAAAGTGAAATGTTCTTCGTTTGAAAATTTCATTTTTAAATGATATATACATAGATTATCCCTTTCATACTTTAAGATGATATACCACATAACAAAATTTTATAATTGTAAGCTCTCTAAATGAATTTCGATATGTGACTTAAGAATAGCTGAATTCTAGTTGAAGTTAATCATTCAAAATTACTTACCAAGAAAACTATAAGAATTTATTAATAATCAACACAAATGATACTATTTTAAGTATTTCTGATGATTCTTTATTGTTTCTGAATTATATAGATACAGAAATATATATTATTCTATAAAGAAGAATATTCTATAATAATTATAGTTCAGCACGTTCTGAAATCAAATTTATTCATTGGAATGAAGTTGCCAATGTGGCCTTCACTTTAATTTATAATGAATTAAAGGAAAGAAATGTATTTTACTGTAATGCACGCATCTGTAACAGTATGTAAATCGGAAGTTATTGATTGCAAGTTTGTTGTTAAGAGAAAGGAAAAACTATGTAAGAAATTGTTCTTCAAATGTTGGGTGTATTTTATTTCAGAATAATTTACCAATGTTCTGGGTATTTTTTTATTTTATTTTCTTCTGCTTTTTTCTTAGTCAAATTTTGCTCCTTAGTTGCCGCTGATAACAAAAAAACAAAACAAAAAAGTCCTACTTTACCAATGATTCTGATAAAACTAAATGAAAACGTCATAAATAGTAGTCTGAAAATATCCATCTTACAAAAGGGCGTATTCAAGAGTTTACACTTTTACTCGGTCTTTTTTAAGCATATAACTCACTTGGGTTTTTTTGTTTGAACTGTAATGACTATTCAACGAAGTCTTATCCTTAGTCATTAGCTTTAAAACATGAAAATTATATAATACTCTTTATTAAAAACTTTATAATAATGAGTAAAAAAAAAATTACATTAGTATTACTCCTTAAATATTTATTATCAAAAATTAAACAATGAGTAATGACTTTTCAAATACTGTTTCTAAATCTGCGTATATTTCTTCCATTATTAATTTTCTGTATCTTGGTAGATGCAATGCTTAGTTTTATGAGTTTTTAATGCTTCTTGGTGTTAAGAGTTAAATGCATTATGAATGCATCACAGTAACATAATCTGAAAATTATGATTTTTAATTTTTTTGATTGCTTACTAGGTTGAAAATGTATACACATTTACTTTAATATTATAGTCTTCATCTTGGATTTTTTGTTTTTGTTAATTTAAAGCAAAATTTCAAATCAGACCATTATTATAGTGCTGTAGAAGCAAAATTAAAAGTATGCTTAAAGTACAGTTCAGCTTTGTTTTTACATATGACTTTTTTTATTAACTGCTATAGCTGAATTTGTTTTCTCTGAAAATCAATATTTTGTTGTCATTATACTGTGCAATCTAAATAAAAGTAATCAAATTTAACATGCATCTAATAGAAATAAATTATAGATAATTTTATGCAGTTACATATTAGCATGTTTCATAATTTCCAAAGTATTAGTACAATTTTACATGGGTAAGTTTATTCATATTAAAAATCTCTTTATTACTTGTAATTAGTATTATTCAAAATTTTATCATTGTTTGCAATTAAAAGATATTTATAAATTACAACTAAGAAACAGAATTATGTAGAATGTTATGCTACAAGACTTTAGATGATTACAAATGTTCAAATCATGTAAAAAATAAGCGACTGTCTCTAGGTAAATTATTTAAATTTTTTTAAAGACCAAATAATTTTATTTTACTAACTAAAATTTAGAAACAAGGGAGCTTTACTAATTTTATTATCAAATTGCTATAAAGAAATAATGAAAAAAGTATTACAGCTAATAAAATGTTCATTGGGACTTGAACATATTACATTCTGTAAGAATGAGGACATAAATAGTTTGTGTAAATTGTTCAGTTCTTGTAAGAAACATAAATTGTTCTTCATGGGCTGGGATTATTTTGCAATATACATCATAGTTTGAAGCATGTGTAATTTCCAATAGATAATTTAGTTATGGATAATTTTCGAAATTCTGACAGTTCTTTGATGACCTAATAGGGGGAACATTCTCTTAACTGGACATCAAGAGTAATTTGCATGTAAAAGTGTTCTTTTAAATTCATTCAAAGTGGTTCTTCTATATTTTTATAATTTTTTTTTTCATAATTCAGGTAGTAATTGAAAAGTTAAGACACTTTTATATCTAAAAATGTTAAATGAATTAAAATTACACCTCAAATATATGATGCCAAAAAGCCATTTAAAAGCAACCTGTGTTGCTATCTCTGTGTCGTATTGTATCTTTTTTCCTTGTTGGATCAATGTAGAACCTAATCTATAATATGTGTTAAATAGTACACATATTTTTTCACAATTTTCTTAGAATTTTAATAATCATGATTTTTTTAAACTTGAATTGATATTTATATGATCTCTTACTTTTAATCCATAGGGTGTCTGCTTTACCAAGATTTCATTATATAGAGTCAAACCTTGTTTACAGCAACTCACAAGGGAGCAAAAATTAGTTCACATTAAAAATACTTCACGTTATCAGCTCAGAAATTTTTTTGAAGAAAATCATACAATGCACAGACATTTTCTATTATCTGTATTTGTTATCTATTTGCGTTTTTTAATCTTAAATTTCTATTATAAATATGTAAATTAATATGTATTTCATTTCAATATTTTTTTTTTAATTTTGAACTTTATATTAAATTAATAACTTTTATACTTCTCATAATAAATACAACCAATTAATTTAAAAAATAAACTAAAGTTATAAATGGGAGAAAAAAAATTTATAGTTCAGATGAAATTCAAAATGTGTACTTACTTTTGATGTCCTATTTTTTTTTTAATTCTGCAGAAGAAAAAAAATATCACTGAAAAGTAACTAACAAATAGGAGTAAATTAATTTATTGCAAAAATTAGAGAGGATTAATAGCAAAATAATTGCTAATAGTTCACTGTTTTGGTTTCTTATTCGCACATGCTTTCCAAAAGGCTTCTAACTTATCAACTGTATCCAAAAAATGATTTGAGTTTTCATTTTGCAATTAAGAAGAATGAACAGTTTTAATTGCTTCGTAAGCATCCATCAGAAGAAAATAAACCAAAGTATTCATTAGTGAAATTTTAAAAATTTTAGCTTATGCCTCTTTAACTGTAGAAATGCAATTCAGCAATATCAATTTCTTAAAACAACCTATGAGAGTGTGGGAGAAATAACTATCCATACTGAACAAAGGATCAATAGGGGTGGTATTTTCTCAGGAAAACATGCTTCTTTATATTCACACCAATAGGCAACCCCATGAGGTGAAAGAAAACTATTCATTGAGTACGTAAGGACTTATGTTGTTTCCTGTAATGCCCCCTGCTCAATAAATCAATTCATTCAACTCTTTCATTTAACTGCTGTAATGTTGAATTATCAACACTAAAACAAAGTATTCAATAAACCTACTCTTATGGATATGGAACTCTTACCTGTCAGATGGGAAATAAACTGTTCACATCAGAAGTAAAAATTTTTTCCAAGGGTAAGGAAATTCGAGTTCACCTTAAAAGATATTTCACATTATGCTTGTTCACGCTAAAAGTACTTTAAAGTATTATATCTGCATACAATTTGATGGGGAGTTGAAACTTAATTCAAGTTAAAAGAAATTTAAGTTAAGCGTGTTCACATTAACAAGGTTCGACTGTATGTGGCTTTGTTGTATAGGGAGCTAGCAGTTGATTAGACTATATTTTGTGTGTCAATTTTTCCAAGTGATAAAGTAAAAAATTTTACCTCCTGTGGTAATTCATACTGATAATATTTTGTTTTAAAATCAGATTACCCCCATTAAATATCAAGCTGATAATGAAGTGTTATAGGAGTTATAACGATATAATAAAGTTTTATTCTCCAGAAAGAACAAACTACTAATCATGAAAATGCATGAATAAAGACATAGACTTAATGTGTAATTTTTTTTTATGTTTACTTAAGGCAACAGTGCTAAGTTATATTTTTTTTTTATTGTTGATTCTGCGTCAAAGTTGATTAGAAAAATTCTCTGTCACCCAATATTATTGGCCCTCTATGAATCACAAAGCTCTTAATTAATATATTATATAGTACCTATATAAATCACTTAGTAAAAAGGATTAATGTTATGAGAATTGAATGTAATGAATCTAGCCAGTAGTTATTTGTAAATATATATTCTGTTTTTTTCTTCTCTGTTCTTTTATATTTTTTTAATATTTATGCTATAATATTTTTCCGTGTGTTTGAGATAAAATTCAATGGCTAATTTTAAAGTACACTAGTATTTATATAATACTCTTTTCAAAATAAAGAGACTGTAAAAAAAAAGCAACATTTTGTAAAGAAATAAGTTGTGATATCTCATCAGTTTTTTACACTGCAGATAAAATATTGTTTCAGCTTCTTGAAATATGAAAATAACTTTTCTACGTATCTTAGTTGTTCTCAGATATTTTTTTCCCCTACTGATGATTAAAAATAAAAAGGTCTGAATATATTACCCCCTTTCAACTCCAAAATATTATTTGCTTTAAAATTTTGAAATACATATTAATGTAAGCCCTGGGCAGAGACAGTCAAAAAATAAGTTAAACAATATAAAAAATTTAAGAAATGCATTCCCCCTTTAATTGAATAACCTGCTTACTTGAATACAATTGGCTGGTACCAATGATGTTTTAACTGGGACTGACTGTATAATATGTATAATAAGGGTAAAGAAATTATTTAAAAAAACTTTTACATTTTTTTAAAATTCTATACTTATTTTAATTATTGTTTTTAATTTTTTTAAATATATTTTTTAACTAAATTAATAAAAGAAGTTATCATTTAATTAATAAAAGATAATAATTAATTTATTTTAAAGCAAATGTAATGAAATAACTTTAAAAACTCACTTAAATCATTATTAAAATCTTTCAGGTTAAGGTTTTATGCATATTTAAAAATAATAAAAGATTGAAGAGAGCGATATTTTAACTCCTTTAAAACTAAATTGATTTTGAATTCTTTTTATCAGATGACTTACTCAAACAAGTAATATGTCTTTTAAATACTGCTGAAAACTACCACTAGGTACTAATAAATGAAGAGAAAAAAAGGAAAAAAACATGGAAAATTGTTGCCACATTATTATGTTTTTAAAACTCTGTGCAATTTCCAGAACTATGGAAGTAAAATAACAATAATAACAATGAATATAACAATTTCGTAATTCTGAGGCTATAAAAGTTAAATAGTCAAGGAATAAAACAGCATCACTTAAATATATTTTAATGAAAATTTAAGAATATTTCCCTTCAGCTAAATTAATTTGGCATAAATAAAGAACATACAAAATTAGTCAGGTTTTTAATCACTAATACATGAGCTGCAACTGAGTAACACTGATTTAATTTATCTTGTGTTAGACAAATTTTGTCTACTTTCGTGTAAATGTTCTTTTATAGAAAGCTGCAACCTAATTTCATCTTTTGTAACGACCAAGATTTGATTAATAATGTCTTTACATTTACCTTATTTATGTTCCATGCGTTAAGTTTTCGAATACAGCATTTGCAAGTGATGGTGAGGATTTCATCAAATTCATCCATTCTCCTCTTTTCTGTATCTCAGCAGCATTTTTTGTGATGAAACGTATACAAGCGTCTTGTAGCTGTCTATCGTTATGCCTGTTTGCTTGGACGATAGTTTTAACTGCGTTTTCGATGGTCAAGTATGTTTCAAGCATTTTCGAACATCTTCTTTTTAAACTGAGTAATTCATATTTATCAGCTGCGTAATACAGTTCGAATGCCGTTTCAAATGGTATCATTTGACTCTCTCCGGAATACAGAAAAAGAAGCATCGCTCTAAAAGCTTCTTTTTTTACATCAGTAATAACGATTTCTTGTTCTTGATCTGTTGATTCGAATTCAAACATAACTCGGAATACAGGTGACCTCGCACTAAGAATGGCTTTATGCGCCGTAAATAGTTCTTTTTCTACTTTAAACGTGACATCGTGATTCTTCTTGTCTTTAAGCAATTCCTTCAAATCTTTTGATAGCTCTGCAAATGTGGCGTCCAAGTAAGGATCTTCGTCTTCGAGCACTGGATGAGGCATGTTGCTGTCTTCAAAAACTTCCAAAGTGCATTTGAGTGTCAAATGGCCATCTTTTAAAAATTCTTTTTCATCCAAAATGTGACTTCTTTTGCAAAACGTTGACCATCCTATTGCAGATTCCAAGGAAAGTTTTGCCTCTATTGTTTTTTTCACTAACTCTTTTTCTGCAGACTTATCCTTCGTGCCTCGGCCTTCCTCTGAAGTTATTCCTTGTATTGCACATGTAAATCGCACTAACCTTTCGTGTGTAGATATCCTCTTAAGCCACATAGAAACGTAATCAGCACTTCTTTGGTTGAAACCACGTGGATAGAAAACTAATTCCCACTCATCTGTTGAAGTGTTGTTTTTCTCCAATTCCGCGCAATTTATTTTTATTCTCTGACTCGTTATTGCGCTTCCCATTTCCTGTTTGAGTGTTGAAAAATTTTCTATTTTCCAGTTATAACTGTATTTAATTATTTTACTTTGAAGTTCCTCATCAGTATGAGTTGTTATTACAAAACCGCCTTCCTTTGCTATATATTGTCCCATGTTGCACTGTCTAAATTGAGAATTTCGGAATTTTACTCTACGTTGTAATCACTAGTGTAATCACTAGTGTAATCGTTGTAATCACTTTGTAAAACAAAATTTTTTGAATACCATTATTCTGCTTATTGCGTTATTGTGTCGGGAAAAAAATCTATTTTCATCTGTTATCGTTCCCAAAACGATATTTAATGCGCAATCAAACTTTTTATCAGCTTTCTACTTAAATTTTGAAATGTTACCTTTTTTTTTTTATCAAGTTTAGTTTTAAAAGATAAATCGTCTTCAATAGCTGCCTTTAAATATCATTATCAAAATACAGCGAGGGAGATATGACTTCACTTTTGATATCAATACTTTTATCTTCGTTAGTTATTGATCTTTTAATTAGTCATTCGTCTCTCCGTTATAGGCAAATTTTTAACGAAAATTTAGTTATTTGAAGTTGCTTCATTCCCAATTTTAAAGTATTGACGTAAATAAACGCGTTACTAAAGGAAAAGAAAAATTCTTAGAAAAAGAGCAAACAATCTTTTAAATTTTGAAAGTAGGAATATAAAACACATTTTTTAACAAACGCTTTTGTAAAAAATATATATTTTTTAAAGTAAAAAAATATTTTAGACTCAAAATATTTATCTACTTTTTAATCGTAGATTTTAAATAAATGTGTTTCATATGCTATATTAAAGCAATTTACATACTTGAGTGCATAGTACCATTTTCATTTAGTTGATTTACAGACAATAAGCATCCCGTTAAGGACACTAATTGCCTTGGCGTTTTGAAATAATAGAAACGAATAAATTACTCCTAGACTTAATTTCTTGTCTAGGGATTCTTTAAATATAGCTTTACGTAATTGTTATACATTCATTGTTAGAAGTTTTTGCACGAGTTAAATTTATTTTCGTCTAATAAGTTAATAACGAATATAATAACGTTAACGAAATAACGAAAGTTGTTGTTATTGTTTCTATTGCCAATATCAGCAAGCTTGCTTGGTGAAACCAAGTGAATTTAAGACAGAGGGTGTGTTTCTTGTTTTTTAGTGGCGCCATCTATGTGTAAGAATATATGACTTCAGCCACACACTCGTTACAGCCCGTTTATTGAGTGGACCTATTCATTCATTGATCGTAATTTTAACCTGAACCAGATCAATCTCCAATTCAGTACACCAGAGGCATAATTTATTATGGGAACATGGAGGACTTTGTAACCCGATAGGTTTAGCATATACCAGTCACCATTTACTACACGGGGATTGAACTTACGACCTCTTGGCCATGAGCCCAACTCTCTGCCAATCATGCTATCTCGGCCTTAAATAACAAAAGTAAATACTCGAAGGAAAAAATAGCATATTTGGATCACAGTTTTGCAAGTTATCAGTTTTTGTTATCACTGAAGTAAATATCACAAAATATTTTCAAGACATTAAAAATAAAAACAGATTTTTAAACTGTTTAATTTCGATGTTAGCTATCTTTTTTGTTGTTAAACCTGGAATAATATAATTTTGTTATCTAAATAGCCAAATATCTTTATTGAGTAGCCAAATTTTTATTGCATGCTAATGTTATTGTTAGAACATGTTCATAAATATTTGTTAACATGTTTTTTGAACGATGTTCGTTTACAAAGAGTCGATGATTTGTCTAAAAACCAAGAAACCTTAAGATTTTCACCCTTATAAATTAAAATTAAAAATCTATAGTTTTTTTTTTTAATCATATTTTAAATAACCGGGATTTAAATATTTTCTCGTATCTTAGGATCCTAGCAAAAATTTCGTTGAGCTTTCTATTTATATAGAAAGATAGTATTTTAATTTTCAAAAATATCTTATGTTTACTAATCGTTTGCATTTTGAAATCGAGCATTGCTGACTATGTTCGCGAACTTTCTGTTCGTGGTATATATCTTCTACTTATGAATAAAAAGTGGTTGAAATAATAGTTTAGGAAACTGTATTAGTTTGGTGAGTTCATTAGAAATTTCTGTATAAAATGAACAATTTCGAGCTCGTGAATAGCGTAATTATTGCTATAAAATTGCTTCATTTTGCTTTGGGGCACTGATTTTCATAATCAAATTTCGTGTCACTCTTCAAATGTGCGAGTGTTTTTTAAGCAACATATTTAAAGCATGTTTACATGCTTTTGCATATAAACATATTTTGCATGCTTTTTAAGCTTCGTATTAAAGCTTACATATTATATCAGTAATCATAAGTTATATTTAATAATACATATAAAAATAAGAACGTTAAATAAAACAAAAATATTTAAGAAATTTGAACTTTCCTTTCTACAATCAAAATCCCTTTTCGGAGTTCATGTGAGATTTTCAAAAATGTAGTTGCTATTTCGATCTTAAAGGGCCGTGGTAGTTCAATGGTTAAAGAATCGAAATCCGATCCGGAGGACCGGGGTTCGATTCTCTACTCTGCTAAGACCCACCGAGTATATACGATATACATACTCCTAAAATCTGGAATTGAAAATCCTGTGGTCGGTCGCTGAGCTAGTACCATAGATACTGTACAAGGATCTAGAGAATATTTCCTTCCCCTTCAGATCTATGTCTAAATTGAGGAAGTGGCCTCACAAATGAGATCCCCTTGGCATAGGATCAAAATTGGTCCCGCAGTGGACTGATCATTAAGACACGGTTCCCAGCAGATCACCGAAGTCAAGCATCACTGGCTACGGTCAGTGTGCGGGTGGGTGACCACTTGGATCAGTCTGCGTAGAGACCAAGGGTGTGCGGTATTGGTCCTCGTTAAAATGTGCTACCGTAAAGTGCTCGACTTCGCGCGCAGGTCGTCGGGCTACCGAAGCGGGGGTGCCATCCCCTCAGCAGAGGATCAAAATTGTGATGGCATGGCTTCGGATCATTCTCAGGGATGTTTCCCAGACCGTCGCCAATAGCCCATTGTGCAGCTCTAGTGTGACGTAAATTAACAACCGCAAGGATCAAAATTGTGATGGCATGTTTTTTGATCATCCTCAGGAATCTGTTTCCCAGGTCGTCGCTAATAGCCCATTGTGCAGTTCTAGTGTGACGTAATTAAAATACCAACCGATCTTAAAGCCTAGAGATCAATTGTCACTGCTTTTCTCTTCCATGTTTATCTCAATAGTTAATAAAACAAACTTATGAATTTTATTATTTAAGTTAGCTATACATTTAAAAAATAACGCATTTTGCTGATTGTGGCCATTTTCGAAAAAAAAGGAATATTTTTTTAATAAACAATGTGTCAACTTGCCAATGCAACCTAAAAGAGGATGATTTTTGACTACTAAAAAATGCAATAATTAACCTTTGGACATTCTTCATACTTAGAAGTTTCATATTAAGTATCAATTTCAATTTATCCATTACTTTTTATCCGTATTTCCTATATTTTTTTTTTATCTGAAAAAATATTTTTTGATTTCAAAAACTTATCATATTTATTGTTGGTAAGATAGTTTAAATTCCAATTAATATAAGTTTTAATAATTATCTAAGTATGAGATGCAATAGTTGTTGATATCATCAATAGACGGCGCCACTGCGCTAAATTTGAGCTTTTTTTTTTCCTTTCCAAAAATTTTAAAAGAATTACGGCGAATAACTTAAAATTTCTTAATGAGATATCTCAGAAAAATTAATAAATGCTAAAATTTCTAGCACATTTAATGTATAATAATAAAAAGTTTCCTGTTATGGAATTAAATCAGTGAGTAAACATTTTGGATTGTTGATAGTAAAATGTACATATAAATTTTAACTGCTATAATTTTTTTTTTATTTCTGTCTACATTTTTCCATCAATTTCAATAAAAAATAATTTTGTTCATTCATTTTTATCCCCCAAAAAGGAAAAGAAGCTATTAAGCTTGTTACCTATGCTCTTCTAAATGAGAATAAAACAAAAATAGACGAATTGAACAAACATATGGATTTCAAAGGAAAATGCAGGGAATAAAAATTAAATAAGCAGTATAAGTTTTTGAAGTTTTATTATTTATAAAGTTTATCCTGCATTTAAATTAATTCATTTCCAAAAATTTCCATATTAAAGAGATAGTTTCTAAATACTGAAATATACAAAATGTATTATTTATTTATTGTCATTTTTTAGAACACGACATTTTGTTTTGTTTTATATTAAATACAGTTACATAATTTTCATCAAATTAGAAAACTGAAAAAATAATCTTTCGTTACTCAATCAAGCTATTCACAAAAACTTCAAAAGAAACATCTGGACTTAAGCAAAACGTAACTTATAAATTAGAAAAAAAAGATACGTTCATAAACGTTCATGTTTGTTTAATTTATAAATGTAAACATTCATATGCGAAGTTCGTTTTTGTTCGCATTACTAAAGTTAAAATTGCATTTAATTATTTTTACAAAAATAAGCATATATTGTTGAGAACAATGTTCAAAATTTATCCGACGAAAAATATGAAAGTGCTTCTTTAAAACTATTAAATTTTAATAAATTGACTTGGCAATTGTGATTTTTGCATGAATATTTCCATCGTACTACAGTGCTAAGGAACTAATACTATAGTACTATGGCACTAATAGTGTAATACTTCGAACTATAGTTGTACTACCGTAATTCGAATAACAATACAGATTGTTCAAAGTCTTGATTTAATAGAAAAACTAATTATTCTTTTAAACGTGTCCTTTTTCTCTAAGGTACACATACATGTTTTTACCAATGCAATATTTAGCTTTTTAAATATTTTGTTATTGAGCATAAATAGGCGTTCTTGTTTATAAAATAAATTTTATGTTTTAAATAGATATGTTACGGAATTATCTAATACTGTCACAAATAACTAAAATGAGTTGGAATGTAAATCGTACTGATCGTAGTAGCGAAACAATATGATTGCATTAAAAAAATCTGATCAATATTTGTTTCACTCAATAACAGTTTATGACTCATGCTATCATATCTTGGCATTAATTTTCAATACAATAGAACTGTTTTTCTACCGCCAATCGATATGCAATGATTCATCCTACTTTGTCGCCAACCGGCTCAAGTGCTTCGTTCTAAATGACTCAATGCATTTTCCCCAATAATCTTTCCCTTTTTTGGCTTTTTTGCACAGCGGGTTCTATTGCAGGAAAACAACTTTTACAGCTTTCTACCGTTTCTGGGTTTATCCCGAAG